AACACAAAGATACATACCGTACTGTATCATTCACCCTTATACCAAATATAGTAGAGTGGTGAATTTACGTTATATCATCCATCATCATCATCATGTCGAACACAAAGATATAACATGTAAATTCACCACTCTACTATATTTGGTATAAGGGTGGATGATACAGTACAGTATGTATCTTCATCATCATCATCATGTCCAACATTATGTACTGTAGCTTCCACACTTATATCCATTACACTGTAAGAGAAACATTAGTATTATCCACCTTCATACCAAACTTAACGATAGCAGTAGAGGGACATGCTGTATTGTCCTTGCTCATTCCCAATATTGTACAGCAGAGATGTTATATCACCCTCCCATGTTACATGTTGTTACAGCACAATTGCATTAGCCCTGATAATGTTACTGTGTTATATATATTCTCAACATTAATGTAGCTGGCGTGGTAACATTAACAATTTATTATTTGTCCAAATTGTGGAACACCTGTCTAGCCAACTTTTTGTTTTATTTTTTTATTTCAGAACTTTTGTACCTGCCCTACTAATTTTATTGCATTACATGTAAAAGCACTACTGAAGTAATTTTTTAACCTTCTTTTTAGTTAGATTTTGTAAACAAACACAGTTTTCATTATAACCTTATCTAGTTATCCTTTGCTTATAACACTAGTGTGCTTATCAAAATTAAACAAGCAGGATACTTATTTTAATCTATATCTTACTGGTGAGGTTGCAATGTTGAATTGATTTGTATTCAACAGATCAGATGAGTGTACTTGTTAAAACTTTTCCTTATGAAGACATCTTTACCTCACAGCAATTTTTTTTCAAAATTTTTTTATATATATATATTTTTTATGACATGTATATTGGAGTGGTATTGCTTTGGTATTTTTCTTCTATTCAGTGTTTATGAAACATTTTAATTTACGAAATACAAAGTATATTTTGCAAAAGGTCTTTCTTATTTTGTTAAAACTGTTTTTTCATTTTGTTTTTCACAAAAAATGTTTTCATAAATGGCAGTAGCTATAAGGACACCTGACTATCAAAATACGCGTTTTTTAATCTGATTTAAAATGTAAGGTTAGCATAAGCTAAAATGAAGTGAGCAAAATAGAAGTAATGGATGTAAGGTGTTTACCTTTTGACCTCTTAGATAAATAACAAGCATGTGACCTTCAATGTTATGTATCAAGGCCATAGATAAGTGGGTACTTGGAGCTGAAGCACCCATAAAAAAATTTGGATAAGTTTGCCAACATTGAAAATAATAATTTTTGTTGTTTATCCCTTACTTTATGTGCTACATTCCAGGAAAGAAAGCACCCATAAAGTAAAAAAAATTTTTCAAGTGGTTTGTTGATATTATTACATCAACTAGTCCTAGTGTAACATAGGGACAATTGTTGAGTGGTTGTACATGTATAAAACAAAAAGACGACAAATAAAACAAACAAACAACAACAAAACATATTAAAGTTTTGATGACCACTGAATACACAATATATGTGCACTTTCAAAATATACACAAGTTAATGACAATTTTGATGTGTTATAATAATTTACTTGTTTAGCTTAATACCATGAAAAGGGAGTCTACAAAACTTTACCTTACCAGGCTTGAAGCTTCTGTTTAAAATTTCTCTTTAAAATTAATAAGCTGACTTTTTTTTTTCCTTTCTAGGAATCTGAGTCATACATCTGTCACTCAGGGCTACAGATGTATATAATAATAGGAGGAACAAAACATTTGTGTTGTTCTTTGATAGGTACCATTAAATATAATTATATCCTAGTGTATTCTGTAAAAAAAACATTTGTGTTGTTCTTTGATAGGTACCATTAAATATAATTATATCCTAGTGTATTCTGTAAAAAAAACATTTGTGTTGTTCTTTGATAGGTACCATTAAATATAATTATATCCTAGTGTATTCTGTAAGTAGATTTTCATGTGACGTTTTACAAATTATTTTAATTGGGACATTCTTGTTGAAATATACTTTACACTAATTAACAAATTTAATTATTTTATTTGCAAAAAAAATTAGGATTTTTTTCAGGACAGAAAATAATACCAATATGTGAGGTTTGAGCTTAAACTGCCCCACCATGCCCCCCTCCCTTCCCCCCGAAAAAAATCAGCCCTGTTTCTTATAGCGTCATGTACAGATGATATCATATTTAATGCTTATATCCAATGTTGTGAAACGTATTTTAGAGATCAGTATGCTTGTAACCATAGCGTTCTTGGTTTTTACTTAGATCCAGAATTCCGTTTGATGGACAAATTTTAAATTGATATAAGCTTTCCTGTCGCGATTTTGTACCTACTTTAATTTTGTTGGGAACAAAATATTTGCGTTTACCATCGTCAATTGTATTTGAACGATTATGCCACGGGTGTAGCAACTGCCCCCGCAGACCACGCGGTGCGGCAGGGGGCACACATTCTGCGCTACGCCTCTGGAGTAAGTTCTGAATAATGAAGTACCTTAACTACTTTCTCGAACGAACGTTGGCTGTTAACCTCTCATGCACTAGGCCTAGCGCATGTAAATAAATTTAAACGTTGGGCTCAACAAGAGCCCTGAATAATCGTGGAAATAGTAATCAAGTCAACTCCTTTCAAATAACCGATTATTTTCAGGTATCTCCTGAACTGACTGTTACAGCATTTACTACTTGCATACGATACTCGTGGTTGCTATGGTTCCCACAAGTGAATAAAAACAATCGATATTTTTGTAGTTTAACCAAACATAGATACTTGTTTCTTCCTGTGTATTCCGAGGATTTTGACATTTTCTGACCATCAAAAGTTTAAATACTCACAAATTAGCATGTCTGTCACAAACAAGATTTATCGAAAGGTAGAAGGGCCATCTATCTCCCGAAACCGCTCAGATTATCTTGTTTCTAATAAGTCCGAGTATTTACTTTTCAGCCTACATGTTTTCTTATTATCATACTCTTGTCAAAGATAGGAAGTTACCACTCCTTAAAGTTTTTCCTCTAAGTTTTTATCTTGAATTTTTATGAAGTGGTTTGCATACATGTACGTAGTTTGGGTAGATGTTATGAAGTAGTTTGTGTTGGCTCGTTTGTTTTTGGTTTTGTTTTCTATCGAAGTTTGCTTGTTGTTTATATTATATATATATGTATATATATATATATATAAGGCGTTTTTCGTTAAACATTAAAGATGGTGTTAATTTAAATAAACTTTTTACAGTAGGTTTAATATGCACTTAAATTAACACTTACTGATATATAAATTCGTTGGGTGAATAAACAACTATTGCATAACAAATCTCAGCTTGTATCTGGCGAACGTCCGAACCGATTGTTACCAAACCTGGCAAGTACTTAAAGGGGCTTCTGTGTCTTCCACGTGCGTTGAACGGGTACGTCAGTTAGTAAATAAAGGGGATCGCGTATTTCAACAGCTACGGGATATCTTATAAACATTTTGTCGCTGCAAGTAAAAAATTATTACAACCTGAAATATTTTCAATAGGAATTTTAATTGTAGTCGAAAGGCGTAATGGGTCAAAAAAGTAAGAAACACTTAAAAATCATAAGGGTCTAGGTGGATTGTAAGGTTAATATATAGGGTATTTTCATTCCTGATTAATAACGTTGTTTATTACACATTTAACAACATGTAATTTTTAATGTTCATATTTTAAAACACTAAATTTTTTAAATTTTAGTAGCAACCAGTGTAAAATATTGCGAGAAAAGTACTGTACATACTTCACAAGCTACTTTCTAGTTGTAATCTTTATATTACTTTTGATAAGACGTTATTGATAATTATGTGATTAGTGATACGTATTTAACGTCTAGTTTGTACTATCTTAGTGCAGTCATGTGTAGAAAAGTTTATATTGTATCAAAACGAACAAGTACACAGATAGAAAACACGGCGTAATTCGTTTGTGAAGCTAGTAACATCTGGTATGGAGGCTATATGTACGTGTGGGAAAAACCTTGCTTTGAGGTTATGCGTGAGAAACGGTCACGCGTGTTGGAAAGACAGGAAACTATTAAACATTCAAGTATGGGCCGACGGCTCTAAGCTGCCGGTCAATGTACATGTAGCAATGAATAGAAGGTATTTCAAGAATTTAGCCTCTGGTGTTTCACTGCATCGTGAGCTTACACGCGGATGTTTCATTTAAGGGAGGAGTGCTATAGCTATTTTGTCAAGTAAATAACACAATGCTCTGTCTTTATGTCCATAACAAAATATGCTTTACTTCCCGGTTATTAATAATAATGGTACCACTCTTCTTGCGTATATGACATTAAAGTATGTATTTTGGGAATTAGTGTCATATGTTTAATAATTTTTATTATAAAGATATCTCTCAGTAAACTCAAATCAAACTGATATACAATTGAAAAATGACCTTGAATTTACTGAACTATTTCCAGTACACTTTAAAATATCCCAGCCAGGGGCGTTGAGAGCCAGCCCAGGCCCCGGGGTCAGTAATATCATCGGGCCCCCCTTTCATTCTATTTATTAACTTTAGCTGATTTTTCATAAAAGGAATTTAGGTGACAAATTTCTTCATGAATCCACGAAAAACCACTAGCCATTTTAGCTTATTAAGTAGTATGCATTTCTAATAAGCTTTGGAATATCCCTCTGCTGGGCCCCTCAACAGGCCCCGGGCAGCTGTCCCCTTGTCCCCTCCCCCTCTCGTCAGCCCTGATCCCTGCCAACATGGTAAATATATCTTGTATTTTTAAAAACATAGTTCAGTTGTTTATGAGGTTTGTACCAGCATTCAAACAGGAAAGACAAACTTACAATTTTATTTTATGGGGGATAATAATTAGTTTTATTATTGTTAGTAGCTTGAGAAGGCATTTTTCAGCAAGTAAATAACCATAATTTTGAAGAAAGAGTTTTTCAGATTCTTTATTAACAGGATGTTGCTTGCTTGCTACTTATATTTTTACATACCCCTTTCACAGGATGGACTGGTTGAATATGCAGAGAATAGAGAAGAGCAAAAAAGTGACTCCTCCTGGCCAGTTTTTAAGAAGATTTGTGGAGTAGCTGCTGGTATTGGAGCTTTGACCCTTGGAGCTATCCTTGCATCCAAATCATAAAATGCAATGTACAAACAGAACAGAACAGAAACTGTATGTATAAGTGTGCTTTCCTTATTCACCTAGAAGCACGCTTTCAATTCTACAGTAGCTGTTTATAGTGTAACAACTTCAAGTATTGAAAAATGTGTACTTTGCTATCTGGGAAGCTTGATCCTCCACATGGACTAATCCATTTGAAACTGCATTGGTGGCCTAAAATAATAGACTTGTTTGTGTGGTTAGTGCAAGAGGAATCCTGTAAAACTATCTGAGACAATGGACTGGCTAAAGAATTGAAGGAGGAGAACTTTAGAACTTTCTTTCCTCTGATATGAAAATTGAAGAATCTCTAAAACTGCTTACTCAAGGTTTTTCTTTAGTTCTTGAGCTTAATCGATTTTGTGGAATACCTAGTAGTGTATCTAATTTCTGTAAAAATTGTTGTTTCAGTCGAACTTTACGCAGAGTAGATATAGTAGATTTGTGGACATTAATGAACTGCAACTACTCATTAAATGAAAAGTGGACAACATTTTGGCTTCTATACTGAGGTCTTCTTAGGAAAAAGCCTCAGTACAGAAGCCAAAACGTTGTCCCCCTTTCATTCAATGAGCGGTTGTTATCAGTTAAAGTCCTCAAACCTGTAAAAAAAAAAGTGTTTTAAGTATTAGGTAAGTCTACCTTCTTTGAAAGATAATTCCATGTGCTTATAGTAAAAGCTCTGATTGTAGTTTAAGATATGTGCTTTTTATTAGGAGGTTCTTTTAATGATACATATAATTGGAATAAATAAACTTTGTTTCAATGTAACCTTTCACAGTGTTTGAAAATTCCTAGTCACAAACAACTGATTTTGAGTTGATGTTCCTTTCAAATCTGGAAATTTACTTTTCTTGTACCTGTCATAAATATGTACCTAAAGCTAGGATAACAATTTGAATATTACATAAATATATTTGAAAGATGAATTATGTTGTTTTTCTTTGTGTCTCAGTGCGTCACTTTTTTTATTAAAATACTTTATTTTTAATTTTTCTGTGGGCTCTTGAAAAAAAACAAAAACTATTAAGATATTTAGATTTTCAAGAATCGCATGACAATGTTTTATTTTGACTGTAATGATAAGAAAGAAACACCCTGTGCCAGATTTAAGCATGGGTTGATGATAACTTGTATTGTGGACTATGATAATCAAGAAGAAATGGACCGTGCGAGGGTAAAAATGTTGGCTGATGATAAAGGGTAGTTACTACTGTGATGATCAGGTAGTGAAACACGGGCTGGTGTTACATGATAATTGCTAACTGATAATCAAGTAGAAACAACTTGTCAAAATCAAATACAGTCTGAAGTTTCAGTATAGTTTCTGGTTAGAGTTAAACAGAGGCTGTGACTATGCTAATAAGATTTAAGTAGTTCTTGCCAGAGTCAAACACAGACTGATGATATATTTGTAGTTAAATATATCTATATTGAGTTATTTACTATAGATATTGTACTGGAAAAATGACCTTTTTTTTATTTTCAAATAACACGATTATCTTGGTAGGAATAGTAGAAAGAGGGTATGTCATGCTGCATGATAGCAACTATGAACCAGGTCTACAGTGTGGGGAATATTTTTCTTCTTATTCTAATATTGATCCAAAAATGTGATTATTTATAATTCATTGTTTTTCGTGTTCTGGCACACTAACGTTAGTTTTTCAGTGCGTGATGGTTTATTAATTTATTAGTTACAGGCAGTGAGAGCCTAAACTATTATGCAACAGTCTTTGTGGCAATTGTATGGCCTGTAAAGTAAATATTTATACAATAAGGTATAAAGTGGTTCAGGTTGTCACTCACTAGTGGTAGTTGATGGTACATGAGTTTACCATAAAACATTTTCATCAGAGTTCTAAGCTTCATTTTCTTTTTTTTTTGACAGTCCCTTTAGTCTTAAACTTAGATAAACAAATTACCATGATCATTCCACATTTTAAGAATAACACCTAAATGCTAATCTTTGTTACATAATGTAGCAAAAAAAAACACCAGATTTGCACATAAGATCCATTGCTAAAAGCAGAGATTGAGCAGAAGTTGTTCAGCACTAGTCAATATGCCACTTATCTTGAATTTTCTAGTGCTTGTTGGCAAAATCATAGAACCCATAATTTTCAACTTCCTTGAAACCATAGAAGAAGAACCTATGGAATCTAACTCACCTCATTATAAACTTGGTTTACCTATGGAATCTAACTCACCTCATTATAAACTTGGTTTACCTAATGAGGTGAGTTAGATTCCATAGCACCTGATGAGTACATACATCTTCATTCTGTCAGTAACCTGTACAACGTAAAGTCATAAAATGATCTATTTTTTAAAATAACCAGTTCTTATGGTTGGAACAGTAGAATGACGATGTACCTTTAATAAAGTAATAGTTATAAACCAAGTTTATACTGAGGTGAATTAGATTCCATAGGTAAACCAAGTTTATAATGAGGTGAGTTAGATTCCATAGGTAAACCAAGTTTATAATGAGGTGAGTTAGATTCCATAGGTAAACCAAGTTTATAATGAGGTGAGTTAGATTCCATAGGTAAACCAAGTTTATAATGAGGTGAGTTAGATTCCATAGGTAAACCAAGTTTATAATGAGGTGAGTTAGATTCCATAGGTAAACCAAGTTTATCCTGTACAACGTTATGCACCAGCACCTGATGAGTACTTACATCTTCATTCTGTCAGTAACCTGTACAACGTTATGCACCTTACATCTTCATTCTGTCAGTAATGTACTCATCAGGTGCTGGTGCATAACGTTGTACAGGTTAATGACAGAATGAAGATGTAAGTACTCATCAGGTGCTGGTGCATAATCTGGACATTGAAAAAGAAAAGATTATAAAAATAAACAGAGCTCATGGAATCTTTTAAATTTAGATAATTTATATTTACTTTTAACCTAAATATATAATCATTTATTGATTTTTTTATTCTCTTGAATCCTAACACGTATCTATATAAAAAAAATGGCCACCCTTCCAAATTTGAGTATCGTTGTGAATTATTCATTGATTTTAGAGATTATATTAGATATTAGACTTCTACTCCTTAAGAATGGATATTTTCTGTTTGTTAATGGAGGCAAAAGATTTATATTCAGAAGTTAATTTCACTGAAAAGTACAAAAATATGTAAACTTTGGCTAAGATTGAAGAATTTTAAGCTTGTGAAACAAGTACTTTTGTAAGACTTCTTATGTTGTTGTTGGATGATATAAAAATGACAATATGATGTGAACCCTCCATATACTTTTAAACAGTACAAAGTTTTTAATAATGGTTTTAAAGTACTGAAGTTTTACAGTTTTATACACATAAAAGCCCCCCTACTGCTGAGCCACGGCGGTAAGTCTATAGGCTTAGCACGCTTAAAATCTGGTTTTCGATATCCATGGTGGGCACAGTATAAATAGCCCATTGGCAGCTTTGTGTTTAAAAACAAATAAACAAACAAGTAACATGTAGAAAAAACAAGTAAAATGACACCAAAATGTGAGAGGGTGGGTGTGGCCCATTAGTTGGGATGACATGTAACGAATGAATATTCAAAGTAAAATATTTGCTGATGATACAATGCAATTGGTAACTGTGAAGATTACGTTGAAAATAATTCTCGTGAGGGTCTCTTTGGAATAGTTATGGTCTCATTACATCTGTTCATTAGATCTACGTATTGCAATATATTGTGATGAACAGGGTTGTATGACGATATACTGTGGGCAAGAATCTTAGCTAATTTTTTCAACCTTTTGAACGTTTTTTATGCTCCTTGAAGCCATAATGCCGTAATACATCTGACTCCCCCTCCCCCAATCGTCGTGTTCATGTTGCTATGCCTAAAGAACTCTTGGTAAAAAAAACTTTGCAAACCGCATGCGTAGCATAATTCATCATTAAGCCAACTTGATGAATCACCTTTTGCATACGAATTATATGAAAATAAAACTCCTGTGGATTTCATTTTAATATTAATAGAAATGTGGTATTTAGATATAGTGATTCGCCAAAATAGTACCGCGATACATATAGTTTCAAATCAACATCGGGACATGTCGATAACACCACGCACCACAAGTGTATATGGTATTTATCCTAATATCTTGGGGTTAAATGTAAAGAGTTTTATTTCAATGGTCTCTTAAACAGTAACGTCTGGCTAGTTTTAAAGTTTGGAGCAAGGCAGCATGGTAACCTTGAACGTAAAATTGGCACCAGCTTCTTTCAACGTACAAGTATCCTGATTACAACACTTGTTTTTCGACATATAGTTCTTGCAACACTATCTTTGGTGTAGTTAAGTTGTATTTATAAAACGTATTTTTGAATAACTAGACAGTAATTGCAACACTTGTTTTTGTATATCTAGATGGCAACTGACAAAGTTGATAGAAACGTGGTAAACAATAGTAATTTGAAGCACTCTCGAAAAAGACCAATTTTGCTTTAGAAAGTCGAAAATCTACATAATTTCGTAAACTCTCATTTTTGGATTATTTGAAATAAGCGTTCACAAAAGTAAAACCTTCCTACTGAAATTAAGCCTAATATCTATACGCAAGCACCTCACTTTAGCAGGTTTAAAGTAAGAGTATTTAATATAAAAATTAATTTTCAAAGTGAAAAGAAAGTTAAAAGTAGTTTCGCTGTGTTTTATCAAGCAATACACTCCTGCTGGAAAATTGGATGCCAGATGGCGTTCGGTAAGAGCACGTGCTTATGACATCAGGGCAGCTGTACTTCAGTTGGGGCTATTGTTTGTGTCGCGTGGCAAGGTGATATGAGTAAATATGCCAAACAAAGTTCGTGCATCGGGAAACTTTGAACCGAGAAATAGTGAAAAGCCGAAGTTTCCAGAATAGATTTTATTTGTTCTTTATTGCAACGTGCGAAAAAGCCTCAAGTTATCCCATGTGGGCTTCATGAATAAACTCACCACCCCCGGGAGAAGGAAGTGCAGCTGTTCCAACCTTCAATGCACAGACTTTTCTTTCTTTTTGCTCCATTATACATAACTTGTACATCTTATTGATCCATACATAGTTGAATATTAATGAGGTATTTAATTCGTTTATATATTCCAAGTAGTAAAATGCCATTGTAGCCTCATAGGCTATATAAAGATGTATAGGGAGAAAATATTGCAACTCATTATCATTAAGTATTGTAACTATCTTTCAAAACAAATTTATATAACACAGTCCTATTTTATATGTATAGAATTAAAACTGATTACTCATTGTTACTCATATTTTTTTTCATAAAACAATATAAACTTCATTTTTTTCGCACCGAGTCCAAGTTATCTGTAGTCACATGGCAATGGCGGTAATAAAGACGAGTAAAAACGACAAAGGAAATTACACAAACGGGTAAAAAAAGACAAAGGAAATTACACAAACGGGTAAAAACTACAAAGGAAATTACACAAACGGGTAAAAAAAACAAAGGAAATTACACAAACGGGTAAAAAAAGACAAAAGAAATTACACAAACGGGTAAAAACTACAAAGGAAATTACACAAACGGGTAAAAAAAGGAAATTACACAAACGGGTAAAAAAAAGAAATTACACAAACAGGTAAAAAAGACAACCGGAAAAAAAGGTGAAAAAGAAAATTGTACAAACAGGTAAAAAAGTACAAAGCAAACAAATTATAAGAAAGGATAAAAAGAACAGTAGGTTTTAATAGCAAGTGTTGAACAATAATGGGAAGCCATTGATTAGAAAACTGGCTTAGTCTTAGCTGTTGTTGATACTGTTTTCCAAAATACTTTTTTTGACTTTTTTATCTGTTTGTGTAATTTTCTTTGTCTTTTTTTCTGATTGACATTTTTTCCATTATAATTTTTCTTTGTCCTGTTTCTTTTTTTTTTCACTTGTCTTTTTTTACCCTTGTCTTTATTACATAGAT